TGGAAAACTGCCTTCAAAGCTATGCTGTTAGACGCTGATGTATCCCCAATCCAGAAGATAAACTATTTAAGGAGCTTCACTAGCAGAAGGCCACAACGCTTAGTTGATAACTACCGGAAGCAGTAACTGCGCAACCCCGTTGCGTTACTAAAGGAGTTGTGGGAGGAACTAAAAAGGCGTTTCGGGAGCGTTGCCGTGATCAGTAATAAATTGTTGGAGCGCTTACGTGATCCGGCGACTTTTAATGAGTGAGAACACGATAATCTACAACAGTTCGTAGATCTTTGCGCCACGTCGCGAGTCGGTGTAAAACCCCCGAACAGTGCGCTATCTGCGGAGACAAGCGTCACAGCGCCGTACTGCACAAGGAGAAGCGGCCACCCTCTAAACCGGAGAATGAAACAGTCAACCCAAAATGTACCATGCTCTGTGGACCTACAGGAGGCGTGTCCTGCAGCAAGACTCTGCTGGTGGACGTCTATAGCCGACGTAACCCACACCTCACTCAGTACGTCTATGTTATCGTTGATGAGCAGAGTAACAGTTCCCTCGTCACTAGCGAACTAGCTGATGACCTTAGAGCGGACGGACCCTTAGAAAAGTACTTCTTGTCCACGTGCAGCAGCGAGAAAGAGGAGAAGTATCGTCGAAGGGTGGCAGGCATTGCGGTACGTTCACTTAGTGGAGCAAAGTTCACCGTACCGGCCCTCACCGAGTGCAATACAATCCCACAAGACAAGCGCGAAATCCCTACCCCAGACATGGCACCTAAAGCACCTAAAGGCCATAGCGCACAAAATACCTCCCATAAACGAGACAGCCAAGATTCACCTGCTACCCCTTGGCTGGACCATCAGTGGTCAGATGTGCCTTGACTTCGCCAGTGGTCCTGCACACGTCCTCACTCACCTCACCAGCCTGTCCACTGTTATGGAGAAAGAACCGGAGACTGGACGCAGAATTTACGAGCTAATACCTTGCCCCAACCAGATCAAGGTTACAGCCCCCCTCTTGGAGCATGCCACTGACGACATATTTAGGAAGACACGAGGTGACGAGCCCGGTCTCTCCTGTGAGGACCGTAAGTTTCTGGAGAAACTGGATAGGGGTATACACAAGAACTCAAGGGGAAACTGGGAGATGCCCCTACCATTCTGTAACAAGTGCCAGACTATGCCGCACAATCGAGTTCAAGCAATGCAGCGTTTACAAGGGCTTCTCAAGACATTTGCCAGGAAACCCAAAATGAAAGCAGACTATTTGGAGTTTATTGGAAAAATAATCGACAAAGGCCACGCCTTGGCTATCTCAAGTAAAGAAGTTCCGCCTTCTCCCGTCCGTTCCTGGTACTTACCGCATTTTTCAACTTATCACAATACAAAGCACACCATTCGCGTCGTATTTGATTCCAGTTGCGAGTTTGAAGGAGTTTTATTGAACAAAGTACTTTTACCAGGCCCTGACCTGATGAACAACCTCATTGGAGTCCTCATGCGCTTTCGCAAGGAGAATATAGCAGTAATGTGCGACATCAAGCAAATGTTTCATTCATTCTATGTTGATCCACCACATGGAGACTTCCTTTGTTTTCTATGGTTTGAAGGTAACGATCCGTAAAAGCCCATTATAGAACATTGGATGAATGTACACCTATTTGGCAATGGACCCAGTCCCGCAGTCGCTACCTATGGCCTATGCAGAACAACCATTGACGGCGAGCAGGCCAAAAAGTTAATTGGTCGTAACTTTTACGTCGATGGTGGTTTGACCTCACTTTTATCTACTCAAGGAGCAACAGACCTGGTTAAGAGTGCGCAAGCCACCCTAGCCACAGCTATCCTTCGATTTCATGAAGTAGTTTCATATTCTGTGGAAGTCATGGAAGCCTTCCTGGCTGAAGATCGAGCAAAAGACGTGCGTGACCTGGATTTATGCCATGACAGCTTGCCAGCTCAACGTTCACTCAGGGTATCCTGGGACCTGGAGACAGATGGCTTTACCTTTAAGGTATCTTTGCCGGACAACCCATTCACAAGGAGGGGAGCATTGTCCATCGTCAACTCTGTGTACGACCCGCTTGGCTTTGCAGTACCTGTTATGCTCGAAGGGAGAAAAATACTGCAGCAGCTTGTCCATATGGGAGAATGGACAAAGGAGAACAATACCCTCCTAGCCTGGGACGACCCCCTCCCTACCGCGATGATAAATCGGTAGACGCATTGGAGAGACTCTCTCGTAGAGTTGCAGAACCTTTCCGTGCCTACCGCCCTAAAGATTTCGGCAGCGTGACTAGAGCAGAGCTACAAGCCTTTTCGGACGCAAGTCAGGACGCTATTGGAACCACAGTCTACCTTCGCCAGTTCAACGAAGCAAACGAGGTGTCTATGGCTCTTGTCTACGGCCAAGCAAGAGTCGCCCCGTTAAATCCCACAAGTATACCGCGTCTAGAACTGTGTGCAGCAGTCTTAGCTGTTCAAGCAGCCCAGAGAGTTATAAAAGAAATTGATCTGAAGATTTCTGACCTGATATACTACACCGATTCAAAAGTGGTACTTGGCTACATTACCAACGAGAGTCGACAGCTCTATGTGTACGTAGCCAACTGAGTCGAGCTGATTAGGAGCATGTCTACCCCGGAACAGTGGAGATATGTGGAGACTGATTTGAACCCAGCAGACCTAGCAAGGCACGGAGTTCCCTCAAGCAAGCTAATGGAGACGAGCTGGCTAGTAGGCCCGTCATTTCTACGCAAACTGGAGAGAACCCTCCCAACCAATGAAACGTTCGTGCTCGTCGCATGCGACCCTGAAGTCCAAAAAGCAGTGTTCAGTGTCAGTGTAAATACGCACGAAGAGGAAGAACCAGACCTTGGAGCAGGCAGGTTCAAGAAATTTTCTTCATTAAAGTCTCTGCAGCAAGCAGTCGGTAACCTAATTGTCATTGTCAGAGAATTCAAACACCGGAGAGACGTTAAAGCAGAAAGAGTTAACCTCAGGAGTAAAGCGTCTAATACACAAGGCAAAGTCAGACCCCCGACAGTTGAGGAATGGGATCAGGCCCTGCGCGTGCTAATCAGCAGCACGCAGAGAGAAGCGTTAAGTGAGTTGTTAAGCGACACCAGAAAAGAACCTGAGCTACCAAGAGAAATCCAAGGTAGCGCCAAGAAGGCTCTCAAAGGCTCGCAGCTGTACCGTCTCAATCTGTTCCTAGACAGCCACGGGATCCTCCGCGTCAGAGGCAGATTAAGGAGAGCACAGATGGAGTATAATGAGAAACACGCGATCGTACTACCAAAGTGTCACTATATCTCACAGCTAATAGCTGAACACTATCATCATGAAGTACACCACTAAGGGAGACAGATTACAGGAGGTGCAATTAGACAAGCAGGTTTCTGGCTTATTGGAGGCCATAACGTAGTCATGAAGGTCATTGGAGCTTGCATCCTATGCAAGAAGATGAGAGGACCACACCTAGAACAGCGTATGGCTGACCTCCCGCTAGATAGAACCGAAGTCTGTCCCCCCCTTACCAATGTAGGATTTGATGTCTTTGGTCCCTGGGCACTGCAAACACGGAAGACTAGAGGAGGAGGAGTAAACGCTAAGCGTTGGGGCCTAGTGTTCACATGCCTAAGCAGCAGGGCCATTCACATCGAACTCTTAGAAGCTATAGACTCCAGTGCCTTTATCTGTGCATTGTGGAGGTTCTTCGCACTATGAGGTCATGCTAAACTCCTTTGATGTGATCGGGGTACAAATTTCGTTGGAGCTAAGACGGAGCTTGACGCAGCAGCATCCGAGATAGATGAGAAGAAAGTGGAGAAGTTCGTTGCAAGTGGGAGTTTAATCCTCCCCATGCATCACATTTTGGCGGTGTGTGGGAGAGGCAGATTAATACGATTCGCCATGTATTGGATGCTATGTTCACTGAGTTAGGCCAGAGTCAGCTTACACATGAATTGCCGGTGACTCTGATGGCCGAAGTTGTAGCCATTGTGAACGCCAGGCTGATAGCAGCGCCGCCGTCCGACACCAATGACCCGCAGCCTCTGTCCCCTGCGATGTTACTCACTATGAAGACACGCCCAGCCGGACCCCTTCCTGGCCAGTTCATGCGGACAGATATCTACGCACGCCGTCGATGGAGACGAGTCCGGTTCCTTGCAAAACAATTTTGGACCAGATGGAGGAGAGAGTACTTGCAGAGCTTACAGCGGCGACAAAAGTGGACAGAGACGAGCCGTTACCTGTGCGTAGGAGATATCGTTCTTGTGCGAGACGAATCACAACACCGTAACGATCGGCCACTGGGACGAGTGTCGGAAGTCCTGAGGAGCGATGACGGTAGAGTGAGGAAAGTCAAAGTAAACGTTGTTAGAGTCGGAGAAAGGAAAACCTACCTTAGACCAATTAAGGAGCTAGTTCTACTCCTGACTGACACAGCTGATCCAGACCAGCAGTAAACGCCAAGACAATATGAGTAGCAAGGATAAGAATCCTTGGGCGAGGAGTGTGATGAACAATGAACATTCAATCAAAGAGAACTTAATTACGTAATTAAGCTTAGTTTTGTTTTGATTTAGATAAGATACGTTTCTGTTCTGTTTCATTTATCGAGTTTTTACACCCCTATTTTCATGTACTATTGTTTACTGTTTGAATCAATTAAGTAGCTAGCCATTCCTGTTTTTTAACTGGTTTTACAACTGTACATGTGAATTGTACCCTTATCAGAGAACACCCCTTAAGTTTTTGTGGAGTTGAAGTTAGGAGATCTACGGAGCAACATCGGAGTTTTCAGAGCAGTTTTATCTTTTTCGGAGTTACGTAACGGAGTTTCCTTAGCCCTTTAGACAGGATCAGACGTAAGTTTCAGCTTATTGTATTTAGTTTTCGTTTTCCTTTCAATTTTGCTTCTTTTGTAATTAGTCTTAGCCCCTTTTTTGATCTTGTACATTGTAATTTCCCCTTTAGTTTTCACCGCATGTGTACAATAATTCAGACGAGTTGGTGTTCAAATTAAATGCTGTTGAGTCAACTTGTGCTGTTGAATTCTATACTGTGGTTGACACTTCCTGATCTCCAGTGCACGACATCCCGTGTTAGCTACACTGGGTACACGACACTGTTACTGATCACTGTAGAAACTTTGCCCTGGGTGATCCAAATACTGCTGAGTTCCAGGCACTATGCCATGACCACAACAATGACCTCCTCTGCAGTAAATGCGAAAGACTGAAGCAGGTAGGTAACTTACGAGTATTACCTTTTGATGCTACCTGAGTAGAATATGAAGTCACTCAATGCTTGCTCTCCAAATATTCGGGAAATTGGCGTTTTTATGAGATATTCCTCGATATTTCCTTTTTACAAAAGTGTTTCTATCTTAAGGTTTTAGAGACCATTCAAACTAAAGTGAAAAACACCTCCTTCCCAACTAAGGATCCAAAACAGGGATATGCAAAACGTTTTGAAGAAGGTTTCAAAGCAAATCTAACTTTGGAAACAAAGTTTGAGCTATACCTGGGGCAAAACAAACTGAACCAGGGGTGGGCACTGAAATCGTGCAAATCAAGATCCCCATTTAGTGAAAAGCAGAAAGAATTTTTGGATGAAATTTTTAAAGAGGGTAAGCAAACAGGGGTCAAGGCAAATCCTGATACAGTTGTGTTAACCACGAGAAAAGCAAGAAATGATCAAAACAAGCATCTCCTTCAAGTATCAAAAGGTTTAATATCTCAGCAAGTGGCCTCGTACTTTGGCAGAAAGAAGGCTTCACAAAACCCAGAAGTGGCCAATCGTCAACAGTATCCTTGCTCCACATGTTTCAAGTACAATCTTAATATGAAAACAAAGGAAAAACTCCTTCGAATGAGTACGAAAGAAATGCACTCTATAGGAAACATACCAATGATCATGGCTAATATTGCCTCTACAACTTTATTTAAAGGAAAAAAAAACGGCGCACAAAAATCGCGCCGAGTTGAACAGAAGCACGCCATCCTTATGATGATAGATGACTATATATGGTCAGAATACCGACAGAAGAGGGAAACACCTGCAAAGTGGATCACATGGCTACCATTATCATCATCAAGACTGTAAAAGAAGCCCTTGCCATTCCTTCTTCGTCTGTTAATTTGATTCATAATCCCTGTGGTGTTGACTCTGACCTTCTAGTAAATTTTTTATGTTCAAACCATTTTATTGGTCAAGTAAGTTCTAAATTGTTTGCTTAGTCAATACCTCAATTAACTTACTCTATGTTTGATCCAGTAACGGACCACCTTGAAACAAGCTCTAAATCTTCAATCTTTTTCTTCATTCAAAGATGTTTATTTCGTTTATTTTCTTAAGTTACCTTTAAAAAGTACAAACGATTATAATGATGCTTTTGGAGATTGTATTACAGACATCAATGGAAGAATATCTCTCAAACGATGTGGTACTTATCCCAGCTGGCTGGCCTGGTCAGCTTTTTTTCAAGGCAAATAGTGTACCACAAAGCCAGACAAGCAACTTCAATCAGCACTGTACCTCAGGGCTCTTCCCCTCATCCGCTGTGCTCTGTCATTCCCACTTTAGGGCCCTTGTATGTAGACCTTAATGCTGTGAGGATATTGTTTTAGTTTACACGTTTTTCATGAGGCTTGTTTATGACTCTCTTCTTCCAGGGAGGAAACTTGCAGACAAGCCAAAACCCTGGAGAATTCTTTTATTAGACTGATTTTTCAAGAGTCAAGGATGTTCAGTATGGTGTTCTGTTAAATTCATTAGATAACTGCATTCCTCTGGCACATTGCAGTTACAGTGTTTTGTTCAAGTTAAATCGCTTTGATGATTATTTCAGTTCAATTTTCGGGCTTTGGGCCATGTTTTTTGCTTCCACGGGAAAACTACAACAAAGCCGCTTTATTCTGGCTCAGCAACATTCTTTATTAGAAGACCAATGGCTGCAAAGGATGTCTACAATTTCTTTTGTAGCTAAGTGTAATTGATGAATATTTTGTTGAGTTTGTCCACAGCATGGCAAGGAAATCCACCAACCAATCTGATAATGTTGAGCAACAGTGGCAGATGTTTTCTCTCTTTGTTTCTGGGGAAAAGCAAGCAAACTTTAGGCCAGCCTTTACCCCTACCAACAATTATGTTTTTAATTCCCTGCCAATTGACACCTTCACATTCAAAGGTTGTATCAATAATCGTGGGCATTCTATTAAGGGCTCCTGGACAAAGAAAAGACCTCAGGAAATTACCAGCCCCGTTTGGTGATGCACCTGTTAAAAAGGATTTCTTGCCCCTTGGGTTCCAGTTCTCCCCTTACCTGAACAGGGTCATAGGTGTGATCACTTGGATTGCTCTGTGTCAGATGGAATGCCATGGAAAATCTCTGAGGGATGTTGGCATTCTTTTCATTTACAATCAAGCTAAAGCTGCCATTGACACCTTTATTCAGGAGCATGAGCAGCACGCTTTCTTAAATACATGGGTGTCTTAGTGGCATGACAGACTTGGGTTCATCTTTAAGGGATTTGCCCCAAAAGATTATCCGGAGATGAACCAGGCAGAAGTGATACATGCGGGGTGGGCACATGAGATTTGCCAAATTTTAGCCTTCTCGACGTCTGTCGTGCAGATGTCTGTGACACTGTTACTGTAAATAAGGAACTTAAAACATATCAGACTAGCATCCCACCATCACCCTCCTACGCAAAATGCAAAAGAAAGAAACACGTCAGGGAAGCTCAAAAGGCGATGAAAGTAGGACAAGAAATGTGAGAAGAAAGTAAAAATAGCCATTTTATTGACCCTTCCTCTTCATGTCAGCCCCCAAACTGCAGGCAGCGCAAAGGGAAAAGATCAACAAGAAGAAAGTCGAAAGAAGTCCTGGTGAATCCTCAGCCAGCAACTTATGAAGACATACCCAATGCTTCTTCATCCAATATGCCCCCATGTTTTGCATCCCCGTCTAATGTGCCCCCATCTTTTGCACCTCCATCTAATGTGTCCCAATCTTTTGTGTCTCCATCTAACATGTCCCCACCAAATGTGGGCCCGCCTAACATGTCCCTACCTAGTGAACCTGTATTTACTGTGCCCTCCTGTCATGCGTTAACGCTTATGTCAGTTCTAACAAACAGTGGCAGCTCTTCCTGGCAGCAGGCTTTCCATAACACACACTGTTCAACGCTGTCTCAAGTGGTCCTTACCTCACCCAGACTCCTACATCCCACTACAGTAATCACTGGACTCTGGCGTGTCTCCCAACCTAGATGAGGCCGTTAAGCTACCTTCTAACGTTTACTAATGATGATTGTAGTGAAATGTTTGCCGAAAGGTCCAGAAGTGTGCCTTAGAATATTTGCATTACATATGTTGCTAAGAGGTTTATAGGTAATAATGCTGATGGACCTTTAATTTATTATATGGCTTATACCAATTCTTGCTAACACCCCAACATATCTTGCATTTAAGTTCAAAGGGCTAGTTTACATCAAAGCAGATGTTTACAACTCTCTGGACGCCCTTTACCACCAAGTATTAGAATCTTACCAATTTAATGTCATAGTAAAATTGCTTACCATATGTTATTTTGAATTAATATTCAGGTATTTTTTTTCTGTTATTCTTTTCACACAATCTTTGCAAACATAACAGCTTTAGCAAACGTTGATTCACTGTTGAAGGCAATAGTTTTACAAATTTAGCTAAAAATAGTAGCACATATGCACCTTTGTTGGGCTTTCCAACAAAGGTAGCTTGTTACAGTGATGTATGTATCGGTAATAAGATTTCAATGGTATTTGATCTGTACTGAAAGACAAGCTTGTAACACGTTAGACATGCCCCAAGTAGCTCGCTTAACAGAGGTTTTTGTGTGGAATTGCTTCGAAACATGGCCAAAAGGTGTAAAGCGTGACAGGTATATTTGTGTTCTGATTACTCATTGATGCTGTAAAGATTCAAAGGCTTAGTATGAGCAACATGGGGTTCCGACATGAAAATTGTCTATAAAATTCGCAAAGCATGGAAAAGTTCTATGGACACCATAAATTTCTGTTGTAAATTACCGGTACTGCATCCGACTATAGTTTGGAGATTGTCCAACATTGCGTGGAAAAATTCCTGGCAATTTGTAGTCCTAACAGGGGTGGGGTAAGGCAAAAGAATGCCTTCTGCGAATTTTTGTTTTGGTGATGTCTACTGAGGCAAAAAAGAGGGGGCGGTAGAGCATCTTGATTAAAAATCAGTTAAACGTCTTTTTAATATCCATATTTGGTGGAATAAATACCTGCAGATATACAAAACTGAAGAAGTCGAAAATCCCACATGATGGTCTTCTTAGTTTTAAAAGGAATACCACCTTACCTTAAATTTTGAATGGAGCAAAAAAATCTATTTGTCTAATATGCAAGCTGAGTCTATAGTAGAGATTGGTTGCTTTGCATCACCCAGCCAAACCTTTTCCCCCCTCCAACCCCCCCACACACAAAACACAAAAGATTGCTGTTCATAGAAAAGTAATCATCACTCCCCATGCATTTAAAACAGTCAGAAATTCTTTCAGCTTTGTATTCGACACAGATTGAAAGAGTTTGTCAGAAAAAAAAGGGTATACTTCCAGAACCCAAAACGGATGACTGGTGCTCCCGGTGTCAATATGACTTTTGAGAGCGTACCTTTCGAAATACTTGGAGAAAAGGTTTTGTGGTGCCATCAAGGACTCGACAGAAATAAGGCTTTAAAAAGACAACGACAACCCAGGTAAAAAGTCAGGCGGGATCCCGGCGGGATCCCGCTAATCCCACCTGGGATCCCGGGTGGGATTAGCGGGATCCCGCCTCTAATGGCGGGATCCCGCCATTCCCACCTGGGACTAAAAATTAATCCCACCTGGGATCCCGCCTAAAACACGGGATTATCACATCCCACCTGGGATCCTGGGTGGGATCCACACATCCCACCCGGGATCCTGGGTGGGATTCACATATCCCACCTGGGATCACACATTGTCACCCAGGATCTTTACATACATCCCACCTGGGAACATTGCGATAATTTCACATGTACGATCCCACCTGGGATTTTAGAAGATTTATTCATACTTGCAAAAGTTAAGTCAAACTTAATTAAGAAGACTTTTAACAGCCATGTAGGTTATATATAATTATGTGTTAAACATATCTTAGCAAGAAGTCTAATTAACTTATTATTCTACATTTCTGCATGTGGAGTTAAAAATACGGCTGGAATTTATCGTCTTCCTGTACCCAATTTAATTTCAAAGGACAACTTATTGTATTAAATTACAAATGTTTTTTATAAGCAGAAAATGACACCATCGTTCATAAATTGTCCTGTACATACATGTAAAATGACTTTCAACAAAACAATATTTATTTTATACAAACACACAAAAAAGCATACTTCCAACGTAAAAGCAGTGTTTAAAACTAAAAAACTTAAAAATCATTTACTACAATTTTTTTGTGCTTGCAGATAGTTTCTTAGTGAGAAGATTTTTGTAAAGCATTAATGAATCGCTACATCCATCATTCCTGACTTAACTTTCCTTTCTAGCTTTTCCCTAGAGTTTCTTCACTTGAAATGATACCTCCATGCATCATTTTCTTCTTTTATATTAGCTTCGATCCTTCGTCTTGATTATGGACGACTCCTGAATAGAAATTCATGGTCAAAACTGCGAAACGCTAACTGCAGTCCTCGGTGTTTGTCAGCCATTTTGTTTCCACTAGTTCCCAGGGAAGCCCGTGAGTTCAACACATGCGTATTCAGCGTTTTATCGTCACATGGGCCTTTTCAACCAATGAAAAGGTGTGAAAATTGGCTGATTCCACGCGGGCACTTTCAAGTCAACAAAGACGAACTGTAAAGCATGCGTCTTTACAAGAAGACGCTTCTTTTTACTTCAATTTAAAGTCGTTTTCCTGCCAGGTTCAACAAAAAGTATTCCTAACGTTGGTAAGTGATGTTTTTCTCAACTTGAGTTTCGATTTACCCGTGTTGTCTCCCCTTTTCACGTACCTGAACAAGTTGGATCGGTCACCTTCGATCACGCTTCGATACTCGTTCGTTTCAATTCTAAAACGTCAGGTTGTTTTTGTGTTCATTTGCCTTAAAATCTCAACTTTTCTGTTTGCAGATACTTATTCGTTGCAGTCAAAAGAAAAGTGTATGGCACTGAAGAGCACGACATCAGCCAAAAGTCTACACGATAAGCAAATTAAGCAAACTTCAACTTGGGGTTTCGAATGAAACTTCTCCATGAAAATACTGCATTTGTGTTGTTGTGGTTTTTTTTTTCAAAAGATTTAATCACATATTTGAATGTTCTGCAATGACTGAATATTGTATATGTAGACTTATTAAAGTTGCATTTTATTCAAGACTTACATGTATATTAACTCTATTTTCCTAATAAATTTGCAGATTAAGTTAAAAATATGGTGCAGAAGTTATATGTCTTCAAATCCCCCTACGATAAATATCAATTTCCTGTGTATGACAGGGTGGGATAGCAGGATCCCATCAATTTAACAACCTGCATTCGATGCTGCCAGGAAAGGTAGGATATCCCATCTGATATCACAGGTGGGATATCTTTGATCCCACCCGGGATTTCAGGCGGGATCCCGGGTGGGATTGGTGGGATTTTTACAAATCCCAGATGGGATGGTTTCTTGGACCCCACCCAGGATTTCAGGTGGGATCCCAGGTGGGATTGGTGGGATCCTAGTTGGGATCCCAGGTGGGATGCCTCCCGGGACGTTCCATAATCCCGGGCGGGATCCCAGGAGGGATCCCGCCTATTTCTGGCGGGATCCCACCTGGGATTAACCTGGGATCCCAGGTGGGATTGGCGGGATCCCGCCTCACATTTTTACCTGGGAAGAGCAAGTAAATAAAGAAAACGTGAGTACTCAACAGCATAGAAATTCCTTTGATCATCCAACCCAATAAATATTACCTTATTACTGCTATATTTTACAGTTCAGTTGCAGGACCAGGTATTCACCAAGAGATGCAATCTAACATAAAACACAAAGAACCTGAATTGTCTGGCAGCTATATACGTAAAATATGTCGTGAAATTTAACGATTTCAAGGTAATGTTTTAGTTAATTTCTTTCTTTATTTATTTATTTAATTATGTAATTGTTTATTTATTTTATTTAGGTTTCGCCATGAAGCAACCAAACATATTTTCAGATCATTCTCGAATTGTCTGCTGGATCAAAATTGGTACAGACCTCTCAAATAATAATAACAATTTTCAAGACAAAAACAACGTTAAGCTTCCACAACAGTATGTCTGGGACGAAACGCCTGCAGCAAAATTTACTGCTGGCTTTCGCTCCAACGATATTCTGTCTTTATTACTTCTCTTCGAAATTCGATTTAAGCAGTACAGATGTCGAAAATGCTACCAATCAATTCACAAATATTATGACTGAGGAAGCAAAACGTTCACTCAAA